CCATACCTTCTAAGCTTTGCTGCAAGGATGTCATGGGGGACAGTACCATACCTTCTAAGCTTTGCTGCAAGGATGTCATGGGGGACAGTATGAAAGCCTTGCTGAAATCAAGGTAGACAACATCCACTGCTTTCCCCTCATCTACCCAGCTGGTGATGACATCATAGAAGGCTACCAGATTGGTCAAGCATGATTTCCCCTTAGTGAAACCATGTTGACTACTGGTAACCTTCTTTTCTTCCAATTGCTTAGAGATGGTATCAAGAATGAACTGTTCCATCACCTTCCCAGGGATCAAGGTGAGGCTGACTGGCCTGTAGTTGCCCGGATCCTCCTTCTTTCCCTTTTTGAAGACTGGAGTGACATTGGCCATCCTCCCGTCTTCAGGCACCTCTCCCATTTTCTGAGACCTTTCAAAGATGATAGAAAGCGTTTTAGCGATCATTTCTGCCAGCTCCTTCAGCTCACATGGGTGCATCCCATAAGCACTCATGGATTTGTGTACCATCCTTATTTTAAGTATGTCTGTGATGCAGATAAACTTCACAAACGCTAATATTAAGACTAGAAGCTAGTCAGGAGCATGACAGTTCGTATGTCCACTGGAGGGGCTTGGAGATCCCCGACAATGCCTGAATAACTCAGTGGTACTTCTCACAATCCTCTCTCCCTAATTGCTACTGTGATAAAATCAGTGTCTTTTTACCGAAGTTAGAACACTCCATTTTTTTTCTCAGCCTTTCTGTTTTTGAGCCTTGCAGCACAGTTAGCACAATATAAAAGTCAGCGTAGTGACAGTATCTGCATTTTTCACCTCTCATTTTGAAGTTGTGCTTTTTCGATCACACTGGTGTTAGATCAGAAAAATACATATACTACAGTATCTGTAAACTAAGTTAAATCTGCCTATTGCTTTAGAAAAGCTTATCACAAAGCGAAGTGATTGTTGTCAGTTTTTTCACTGGACTTAGAAAATCTTGCATATAGACTATTGGTATATGCATAAGAGTTTTAGGCACAGTTGTACTAGTGCTCAGCAGTCCTGCTGTAGCTTAATGCTGCCAGGGCTTGCGAATCTTTGCAGAGTGAAAACAAAGATGAACCGTTCTAAGCTCTTTCCTGGTTCTAAAAAACAATCCACTAATTTTTTAATCCTATATGCAGGGCACTGGTGGGAGTAGACATTGTTTATGTATTATGTGAATTATTTTTAAAGAACTGTTGGGAAAATATCTGTTTCAGAGTTTTTATTTTCTCTTGGAATACAATTAGGTTCCTGTCTTATTTTTTCCATTTAAGGAAGAGAGGTAATTTGCACTGGCAGGTCATTAGTTGGCAGCTGTAAACAGTTGTGTAACTTTTTAATAAAATTTGCATTTTTCAAAGTCCTTACTTTTTGGAGGTGCTAGTCAAGAATTAATTGTCTGTAGGTAAGCTGACGAGAGAGTTGTTAAGTCTCAGCTAATTCCAAAAGCTCATATTTGATGGCAAACTTAAGTGGAATATGTCCTTTTTAACAAGGACTATAAGTTAATAACTTTTTTTAAATGTTTACATGAGAGAGAATAAAACTAAAATGTGTACAGCATTATTTTCAATTTAGGATAAAATGTCAAGTTTCTGAATTAAACGGTTATGCTATAGTCAGTTTGAAGGAAGACCCTCACAGGACTAATCCATGTTCTGTTATAACCAGCATCTTGTCTCAATGCTGGTTGCTTTGGGAAATGACCATTCAAGGATCTTCATAATGGCAAAACCAGGCATGGAAACACTGTTTTATTTGTTGTCAGTGATCTGTTCTGAAGGAGAACATGTATTTTATGCCGCCTGACAACCTTCAGTGACACATCTAATCTTTAGAGGTTTTTTAATCCCTCTAAGTTTTAAGGTAGAGTGTTACCTTATAGCACTGATTTTCTTCAAGTATAGATCAGAAAGCTATCTCTACAGAAAAAGCTTAAGTGCTTTGTACTATAAACTAAGAGGGCTTGCCATTATGTTAGCATGTAAATGTACTGAGATACTTGGTAAAAGAAAATTATTTTAAAATCATGCTACATCAATATAAGAATACTATTGTATAAGATAACTGTTTTTGGAAAGTCCTTCACACAAAAATAGGGGATGTTCCTTTTATATTATGGAGGTGTTCTAAAGAACAACTCTGTTCAGACCTTTCTCATGCTTGGTATGTTTCTTACACCATGTTATAAATTCAATTATTCTCTACTGTCATTTCAGCAAACCTGCCATCTTGAAAATGTAAAGCCTGAAACAAAGAGGTATCTAGAGAAATCAGTTCAAGTGGGAAAAAGAAACGGACTCCATCTTCCTAAAGAAGTGCAGAATGTAAATATGGACTATTAGTTTGTAAAGCAAAGGAGGCAAATTGTGGAAGGGATGAAATTATGGTTGTATAGCTGTACTAAGCATGTATTTGAAATTTGTGCTTTTGGACCTGCTTAATTACTGCTGTAATCTTAACTGCTCTTAGTTTCATATCCATCCTTTAAACTTCAATCACCTAAGGTTTTTAAATTCATCTGTTAGATACCCACAGTACTCAGTGGGTAGAGGTGGTACACATCACCCCTTTTAGCCTTCCAGAGTAAAGGAAAATTATCGGTGAGAGTTTTGTTATATATTCTGATTACAGAGAATGCCTAAATTAGATGTCTAGCCAAGAGATCTCTGAAAAATGTTATTTGTGAGTCCAGGCTTCAGAAGTATGTATAATTGTTACATAGTCGCAGCTATTTTAATTTCAGTTATTAACCAATGTTGTAAAATGTGTCCAAGATTTTAGCATTTCGATTAAAAAAAATGGAGGTAGCTTAAAAGTAGCACAAGCAGGACTGAGAATTTTGACTGCATTAAGGGAGGATTTACCCAAGCATATAAAAGCACTTGTCACTTCTGAAAATCATGAAGTAAAGTTGTCGGCATCTGAGATATTTGGATTTATAGATTCTTTTAACTTACTTTAAAATTCTGAGTTATGTTGTATAACAGTTTTGATTTATGACTCTTGAATAGGCTTTACCTTTTGTAGGAAAAAATAATTCTTCATCCACATCCTTCAGTTAGTGAGAACAGTTTCATGTGTGTTTGCATTGCTTAAGGACAGCTGGTGAATTTTGAAATACTTTATCAGGAGACAATAGTTGAATTGCATTTAATTAAAAACTTGACTAATGGTAGTCTCTGCCAAGTTTTGTATTTAGTGTGTAATCTTTTACTGGTAACTACTGCGTTTATGTGAACTTGGCAGTAAAAGGTAGAGACAAACTACGAAAATGTTTCAAATGGGTGAATATAATGATTTTTAAAAAGGTTTTGGAATGCTCTTTTCTTGTGGGGGGGGTATTTTCTTTTTGTCACACCTGTACAATTCCAAAGGAGTGTTTCTCAATTCATTGCATGCATTTTTACTCCCTTGATTTAGAAGATATTTTTACACTTAAAATTGTAATTTTGGCTTTTCAAATAAAAGAAGATAATTGAATGTTAGCACCTAATGCTGTTCAAAGAATGTGTTTATGTGTTCGGTCCCCTTTGAGCTGAGAACACATTTGAAATGTTGTCAGAGCAATAGCCCAGATATTATTGTTCGATGTTGTTCGTTGGCAACAATATCGGTCAGGACCAAAAGAAAGATAAAAAGGAGGCTGAGAGAGAGTGAAGTATGACACTGCAGTGTGTTACTTGCTCAGTGCTGGTATTCACTGTCGGCTACTAGAGAGCCTAGCTGGAAAAAGTGAAACGCTGTACATGTAAAGTATAGTAATTGCCATTTTTGATTTTTGTTTTTTTTCACTAAGTTCAGTTTCTACCTGATACAGGAAATAAAGACAATGAAGAAAAAATTGAGTGAGCTGTGTATAGACTTTAACAAAAATCTGAATGAGGAAAACACGTTTCTTGTATTTTCTAAGGAAGAACTTGGTGAGTAGTATGCTTGTTCTTTCCATTTTTTCAGCCTTCCAGTTTTACTGGAGTAATTATTTCTGGCCAAGTGAATGATGGTTAGATCAAGTGAAATTCTGACTGTTTTCCAATCTTCTCTGTTTCCTTTTTAATCTTTCCCCAAAGTCAATTTAGAATTACCCTTTGCAGGAGTTTATGATCTCTTAATAGATTTGTGCTTCCTGAAGTGTTTGCCTTGCATCAAGTTAACATATCTGTCCTACTGTTTTTTTCATAACTTTACTCTTCTTTTCCCTGTTCTCCACCATCAGGCAATCTCCTGTGTATTGTATTCATTACAATTATTGGAAAAACTTTTCTGTCCAGCAATGTATTTTAGTTACTTCAATTATTTAAACTGATATAGAGATTTCATGTGACAGAGAATTTGGGGATTCATTATCTGAAGGGCGTGGCATAAAATGTGCTTTAATAACACCAGAGATTTTTTATGTCATATTGAGTTTTATCTGGTAGCCTTACGTATATTTCCGTTTTGCTCACAAGTGTTTCCAATTTTTATTTTGCTTGATTGTGATTTGGAAAAAAATTAGCAAATAGTTGTAAAAAGAGTGGTATATTTCCATGGAGATTTCTGATGCCAAATTAGATTGCAGCAAAACAAATGCAACAATCTCACAAAAAGAGAGGGGAGTAGGTAGTTCTGGTAAACAATCTTAAATTGTGTTCTACAGAAGGCCTTCCTGATGACTTTATTAAGAGTTTAGAGAAGACTGAGGAAGACAAATATAAAATTACTTTAAAGTATCCCCACTATTTTCCTGTCATGAATGAGTGCTGCATTTCAGAAACCAGGAGAAAAATGGAATCTGCTTTTAACTCAAGATGCAAAGAGGTATGTCTATTGACTTCTACAGGATGATAGAGTTGAAAAATGGAGCTAGACATTCAAATGTTAGATTTGAGTTCTATGTATTGTCTAGTACTGTGAAATCAAAACTTATGAGTGTGATTTTTAACAGTTCCTTGCTCCAGTTTATTATGGTGTCTAAAGACCTTAGAAGTTGATGATCTGCCTGGCTGAATACATATCTTAAATTTTCAGTCGTGCTGTAAATAGAAGTAGGATTTTCATCTTATGCCAAAGTGTTCTGTGGCTGCTTGCTGACACTTTTCTCCCAGAGAAGGACATCTGACTGTAGCTTTTGTAGTGCTTTAGGATTCTTCAGAATGAGAGGGGTTATTTAAGCACATGTTTTAATTATGAAATACAGGTGATTAAATGTGAAATTAATTTTAGTTAGATGTTTTAAAACCCTGATTTTTATAAAAGATTAATTTAATTGTCAAAAAAATAGCAGGAAATATGCCATATATAAAAAAAAGACATAATTTCACAAATAATTAGTTTGATACTGATGAGATTAGGCACCTAGACAGGTACAAAAATAATGAAAAGTGTAGAAAGTAGTAGAAGTATAATTCAGGCAATTGTACCAACCATTCACCAGAGAACAATGTCAGAGTTGAGCTTTTGTGTTTGGTGTGCTGGGAAATTTGAAGAGAACAAGATAAGATAAAATGGCACCAAGAACTGAACACTCTGCAGGTCAGCCCAGTTAAAGGGATTGTCCTTACTATTAAGACTGTGGGACGATCTTTGAACCTAGTGCTTGAAAAAAAGGTTTTTCCCTGAGAAATGTCACTTTTCCAGAGTGGAGGTTAACACAGTTACATTTTAAACTTCTCAAGGATCCTCCACTATGTTTAGGTCAGGGCCTGGGGTTTTTGTGTTTCAGATCTCTTTCTCTGACTGCTATTGTCACAGTAGCAAAAGAGGGAAATTTGCAAACAAGCTTTGAATGTTGGCACAGTAGCTTTGCAGTCTTGTCTTCAACACTAATGAGCAGTTAAGCCTGCTGTCAGACATTTCCCTGTTATCCTTCATATTAAAATTATTGATAAAGGAAATAAACTATTTGCAACAGTCAAAAATACGTTATTTTCCTAAAAGGAATATATGCCTATAAAAGGAATACGTATATATTCCTTAAAGGAAATGGTATATCTTTTGATTAATTAAAACAGATAAATTACAATAGGGAGAGTAATGATTCAGATTGACTAGAAAACTAGCTACCTGCAATCAAATGCCGTGACAAAATGTTGAAAAGAATCTAGCTAAACTTACATTATCCTATATTTATATCTTAAAGTTTTTAATTTTAAATGTTTACTGTTTCTTATTATCATAGTTATTATTCAGATAATTGTTTCAATAACATGCATTTTCTGGTTGCACTCTACAAATTTGCCTCCTTTATTTTTTAGGAGAACACAAAAATTCTTCAGCAATTGCTTCCACTAAGGGCAAAAGTAGCGAAGCTTCTTGGTTATAATACACATGCCAACTTTGTCTTGGAGGTAAACACTGCAAAGAGCACAGATAACGTAACAGCCTTCTTAGGTTTGTTCTTATTTATAAACAATACTTTTATATTTGGTGTGGCAACATGATTTCTCAACCAAGATAAATTTAAATACATAATTGGGTCATGGTGTCTATCATGTTCAGATAGAAGAGGAACTCTGTTGCATCTGTTCTGACACATAATTTTTTTTAGACCATAGCTGTACAAAGGCAATTACTCCAAAACAGGGAAGCACAAGACAAAAATCTAAAATTAACTGCTTTGTGACAGCCAATATAGGCAAGCGATTATGTCTTTCTCTGTCCCAAAATGGTTACCCTAATTTAGAACTAGAATAACATCTGCAGCCTAAGCAATTTTATCTGTTCAAGAGGCTGCATCACATTTGCAGCTTTTCATTCCCTCAGGTTAGCTGCAATTTTTTTTTTCATCTGTAGCCTTAGTGTCTTTTTGTGGTACAACTGCATTAAGTATAATGAAAGATTACCTTATGTGATGATGCAGTTTCCCAAATTAAAAAATTGTATCTGGAACAGTAGATTAAATCTGGAATTCAAAAGCCTTCTAATGGAATTTGATCTGAAAACAGAGATACCTTGAAAATTTTAAACTAAGCAGTTTACAAATTTATAGTCATCCTTTTGACCTCAGTGGACCCACTCTGATGCATAGAGTTAACCTCTACTTTCTGGAATTATGTAGTTTCACGGAATAGTATGTGTTCCTTTACTAATGTGTCCTAACACCGCTAAGTGTTGTATATTGACATACCATATAAATAAAGCCCCCAAAATAATTTAGTACAGCAATATAGTCTGTGTGCTGGTAGTGGATTTTTTTGTGTTTATATATTAATAAAAAGATTCGAGTGCACCTCTTCTTTCACCCGTAATTCTGTCACATTATTCCTTTTATGGTGTAAGCTCAGCTCCATATTTGACAATACCAATTATCCGTATATTTCTCAATGAACTTACACTTTAATTTTGATTTATAATTAAATGTTAGAATTACCTGATTTTTTAAAGTGTACTTTAAGTAGTTTAATCGCTTTTCTATCCATTATATTTTTGTAATTCTGAGTGGGCTTATATAATACTGTGTTTTTTCATTTGTTTTGAGACACACCTCATAATTTAGCAGTTATTGTTGTGATTTTAACTTTTTACAGTATGAGAACATATGCTTTTATATTCATAAATATAATGTTTCATGGTAATTCTCATAGAGGGAGTATGTTCCTTAAATTAATTGTCAGCTTTAGTTCTTTTGATATATCCTCAGCTGCAAGCATGACAGGATGATTTGCTCTGCTTTGTTCATATATTTTCATGGTTTAAATCAATGTTCATAAGCTGATCTTATGGCTAGGAAGAAAAGCATTCTGTCTGTCCTATGATATATTCTGAATTTAGCATATGAGCTGCAAACATTGCAGTCATGTAAATGCATATAGTGCCTTACAGCCTGCCTAGAAACAAGAGTTGCAATTCCTAGATTTTACACTCAAGACACCAATAGTGAACATTAACTTGAATTCTTAGAGAAGAAAAAAGTATCTGGTAGTCTAGAAATAAAAGAGCATAAGTACAGTATGTACTTTATGGGAGTTTCAGTAAGCTTAAATATTTTATATTCAATATATTGAATTCATAGCACTATGACCCTTTCTTGTCCAAGAAAAGCTATATTGAAAGAAATTGGGATCAGAGATGACTATCCAATGGCTTGGATAGTCTCGAAGTTAGCCATCATACAGGCAAGAACTTTAGCTAGTAGTACATCATAATCTGTCTTGAAAAGTCTTGGAAGAAAAAGTACTGTTTGAATTTTGTGTTGCATTCCAGTAACTAATAGTAGTTGTAGTCTTTGGCTGTTTCTGCAGAAACACATTGAGAGAGCTGAGATTACATGAGATAAAATCAAAGGCTTCAAGCAATATGTTACTTTCCATTTCTGATGTCTTTTTAAAAGTCTAAATTTATCAATACCATTCACAGTACTGCTGGGCCTATGTAGACTCCTGTATTATGTATAGCATGCCTGCAATTAAAACTCATTAAGACAAGAAAGCATGCAATTTCCTTGCTGTTAGTCAACAAATGGAAAACTCTAGCATCCGCTCTTGGAGCATGTACTTAAAAAGTTATGAGTGTATTTTGTAGTATTACACATTATAGTGAGGAACACAGAAGTTCATTCCAAGGCAATCTTTGTTTCAGATGATTTGAGTAAGAAGCTAAAGCCATTGGTTGAAGAAGAAAGGGAATTACTTCTAGATTTGAAGAAAAAGGAGTGTAAAGAAAGAAACTTTGATTATGATGGAAGAATCAATGCATGGGATCTTCACTATTACATGAACAAAACGGAAGAGCTGAAGTACTCCATAGATCAAGAAAAGCTGAAGGAGTACTTCCCAATTGAGGCTGTTACAAAAGGCTTGCTGAATATTTATCAGAAGGTTCTGGGACTTGTATTTGAGCAAGTAGAAAGTGCTCATGTTTGGCATGACAGCGTTACTCTTTATACAGTAAAGGATGATTCAACAAGAGAAATGTTAGGGCAGTTCTATTTGGACCTTTACCCCAGGTAATTATGACTCAGTGTTTTACCTATATGTTTAAAATTGAATTGATCTTAATGGGTTGCTGGTGTGGTTGAAATTAAATGCATTTGGACGTAAATATTTGTTCCACTATTACTGTGTTCATTAAGTTGTTCTCTGGACTGTTATCAGATTGTTGACACTTTTTCTTTTTTTTTGCAGTACTATTGCATTTCTTGCTTATATTCCATTTATGAAGCATTACTACTTTGTTAATTTTCTGTAGTATTGGTGTCTGGTTGTCCATAATTTTCCGCCTCTATGAACTTTTCTCCCTTCTAACTGTAATACTGTTTTACTTTTCATTTATGTTGAACTGTTAACTCCACTCTGTGCAGATCAATTATACTCCTATCTGCCAAGTGTTCCTAGTTTCTCTCAGTTCCCCTTTACACTTTATATGTGGATTTTGTACCCTGTTGTCCAGATTGCTAAAGGAAATATCGAATAGATCAGGACCAAGAATAGATTCCTGTTGAGAACACCTTGAAATGTACTTCCAGTTTGATCTCTGTAGCTCTTCAGCTCTGTTTGTAGCTATTTACGGCATCATCTGTGTTCTGTCAGATTAGGAGACTCAACTGATTTAGCAAGATTTATGCTTTATCTAGTCCTTTTGACCGTTTCTCACTGTTTGGCTTTTTTTTTTTTAAATTATTCTTTAGCAATTTGTAAACTGGCTGATAACAGTTTTTTTAGTATAAATCAATTTAAGGCTTTTCTGGATTAAGAAAATTAGGTTAGTCAATACAATAGTACACAAACTGTTCTTTTTAAGATAGGCACGTTACCTCCTACCTGTTTGCCTGCTCCTCCATTTCTCTGTATCATGTGATTTGCTGAAACTATTTGTTATTAAGACTCCTCTGACCTAACTACACAGTTATCTACTCAGGTTTGGGGCAAAAATTTCAACATATTTTTTCTTTAAACTTTTGGATCACACTAGAAACTGTAGTAAACTATATTCTTTGGCTTCGTAATGAAAGAAAAAATACTGCTTCAGAGGACAGAACCTAGTCCTTCCTGTTGCAGTAGCAGTTTGAGATAGAATTGGCATCTAGACTGTATATACTTTCGGTATATGAGTAAAAATCATATTCTTGTAAATGCTGCTGTGAATCTTAAACTGATGCCATTTGAGTACTGGGGGGATTTTCCCCTTGTGCTTTTAACACACAGTGAGTCTTAGAGGTCATGAAAGATGTATTCTCTTTATGTAAAGCTTTAAAGAGACACTGACTGATCGTCCCTGTTCTTGAATAGGCTTTGCCATTCTGGTGAGCAGGCTTGTGGTTTGAAGATAGTGTCTGATATATTTTCTTATACAGAGAAGGAAAGTACGGGCATGCAGCATGCTTTAGTCTCCAGCCCGGCTGTCTTCTCTCTGATGGCAGCAGAATGATGTCTGTAGCTGCTCTGGTAACCAACTTCACAAAACCAACATCAGATCAGCCATCATTGCTGCGACATGATGAAGTAAAGACTTACTTCCATGAATTTGGTCATGTAATGCATCAGATATGTGCACAGGTTAGTGATGTTTGAATTCCAGTGTAAGAGTTCTTTCTCCTCTGCCTCAAAGCAAGGTCTGTTTTGCTGGTTTCTAACTTTAGTGAAGTATATATGCAGTTTTTTGGTTATATTTCAAAGTGGCAGGTTGGCAAGTTTTTTGGTTTTAATTTTTATTTAAAACTTCAGCAATAAATACACCTTCATAGGAACATATACATCTGCATTTGCACCATGCAGGTACCTGTGACAAGTAAGTAGATCTGTGTGTAAGGTATAAAAGGTGCTCAGTGATAGTTTCTGTTACAGCTGTCAGAGGGCTTTTTATTACTTCTAGTAGTATGCTAGATATTAGAAGCAAAATAAATGTTGTTGTAACTAGGAATGCAAATGATTTGTGAATCCAGATCACCTCCAGCATTTTGGTATTTAGTACTTGAGAGCTGTCACTCTTGACATCAAAAGCATAAAACTTGTCTTGCCTGAGCTATTGTGTTTTCTGCTCTCCTACCTTACAGTCAGGGTGCTCACAGTGACCAGAAAGAACTGAAACTGATCTACAGATTTTGCATCAAAATGTCAAAAAAGTTGTAAAATTGCTGGTTTCGTTTTTGCTTACACGTAAGATTGATTCTGCCAGATGATAAATTTATCGTTGACCTAATTAAAATTCTGTGTTTCAGAGAGCAACAAGTCTCAGTATTCATTCACAAAAAAATTTGCATAATTGTGTTCAAATCCAGACTTTGTGTAGCATTAAAATCAGAGAAGTATGGCACACATTATATTTTAATTCTTGACCTTGATCCTAGAGACTAGGACTGTAGAATAAAGAAACAAAGTCATAGAAATCCATATATTAAATCCAAAAATAAACAAATTATGCTCAGGCAAACTTCAGAACAAATAGCTATACTTGTTTAGATATTTTTGCATCATGTTGAAGTTAAAAATACAATGGTTATTTGATCATCTTCACCCTAAGACAGTGTATCTGAGCTCAAAAACTGAGAAATAAAACCTTTGGTCAAATGATTGCTTTTGCTGTGACTAACACTGAAATGTTGGCATCTAAAAGTTTATATTCTGCTAGAAGTCCTGGCTTCTTTTTTCATTTGATACAATGGCTTTTCCTTTTAGACTGATTTTGCTAGGTTTAGTGGAACTAATGTGGAAACAGACTTTGTGGAGGTACCTTCACAAATGTTTGAGAACTGGGTGTGGGAGAAAGAACCACTACAGCAAATGTCAAGACATTATAAAGATGAGAGCCATGTTGGAGATACTCTTCTTGAGAAACTTGCTGCCTCTAGGCTGGCTAATACAGGTATCTCTCTGCCTTCTCTCCCCATTGTATAAAATATATAGTTTTAAAAATTGGTGGGAAACATTAAAGACAAACATAACAAGCCCATTACATTTCTTCTGTGTGTATACTTATCACTGTCTTTCTGTTTATTTGTGTGGGTACCACCATTAACAAAGGCCATGATGACAGAAAGCACTATTTGCAGGAGCCCTAGCAGCTCTGTTTTTCCAGGCCACCCATAGGTCTATAATACCTTTGCATTCCCCTCCATGTGACTTTTTTACCTACCAACTTTGCTCCTTTAAAATTGGAGGCAGGTGTGAAGGTCCTGGGTTTTCTGTTGGGTTTTTTTCTGGTAGCCAAGGGCAGGCACTGTGCATAAATACAGTGTCAGATTTTCTACGTGTATCGACTACATTTGATTTGCACATGACACTTGACATACATTAAAGTTGTTTGTAAATTTACTGAACATACTGGGATATGATACTGAACATATCCCAGACAGAAGTGTCATAGCCCTGCATTGCTCAAACAGCCTCTTAACTTCTCATTCCAGAACTTAGTCCGTGTTTTCTGCCCTTTCAGCAGATACAATGCCTTCCCAAACTGAAGTCCCAGTTCTCTTCTCCTTCCATGCCTTGTACCACCTTACATGTATCTCCAAACCAAGATTGTAATCTCAGGTCATTACCTGTCATCTCATTGTTATTCTGTCACTTTCACCCCCCTGTCCCTGTAATCAGAATTCCCTCAAATTTATAGTCTTACTCATTTATGGTACCATTTGTCATTAAGCCATTGCTATTTATTTCATGCTGCTTCCCTGTCCTGAACAAGTCCTTGCCCTTCTGGCTTGTACAGGCACTGTAGTTACATAAGCATCTTGTCTGAGTAAACATGCATGTCTTGTAGCTTCTTCAGAAAAGTTTTTGCCATAGTTAAAATTCTAATAATTTAGGATGCATATTGAGATCTTTGAATGAAGGGTGCTAAAGAAACTCCAGCCACTTTAATGATAGTTAATTAAATGTTCTTACCCAATTAGGTCTTTTAACTCTCCGTCAGATTGTTTTGAGCAAAGTTGACCAGGCACTGCATACAAAGCCATCTGTTGACCCAGCAGATGAATATGCTAAATACTGTATGGAGATTCTAGGAATTCCTGCTACCCCAGGTATGTCAGTATGAAGCTTTTATACAGCATGTCCAAATGGTTTGATTAAACGTGCCTTTATTTCCCAATACTGCTTGGCATACAAAAAAGAAAAAAAAAGAAAAAAAACTCCATTGTTGTTTATGAAAAAATGTACTTTATGAAGCTGAAATAATTACTTTAAAACTTGGGGTGATCTTGATGACCTTTTCTGAAGGAAGATAAAGGTGAATATAAAACTTAACCTTTTGCAGGTTATATTTTAGAGACACATGGTATGAATGTCGCTTTGGTGTTCTGTAGCATCTGTGCTGGATGTGCAACTAGCCTTAAATGGGAAATCAAATTTCCTTTGGAGTCAACAGAATGTGGCCAATACTTTGAGTCGTATTCAGACCTTTTAGGTTAGACGTTTCCAAGTAATTGATATAAATTCCTTATTAATTTATTCTTAAAGTCGAAGTATTGTATACATCAAAGAAATAACTGCACTTGATTTAAATAAATGAATGTCAATCTACTTTTCAAGGAACAAACATGCCAGCTACTTTTGGACATCTAGCAGGTGGTTATGATGGTCAGTACTATGGATACCTGTGGAGTGAAGTGTTTTCCATGGACATTTTTTATAGCTGCTTTAAGCAAGAAGGAATAATGAATCCAAAGGTAGGTGATTAATACTTTTTACTAAAGACTTTTGTTGCACTTTGTCTCTGAAACCATATTTATTATAATCACGATCCATAGGTAGAACATCTAAAGTCCTTCTTCTGAACCTTAAAGTTAAGAGCAACAAAAAAAAGGTGTATAAATAAATTAATTTAATTAATTTAGAAAATAATCTTAAAATTTCCAAGAGTACTTGGTTTTTAATGCAATTCTTACATAGTCATATACTTAATATTACATTATGACACTTTTAAGACATTGTGTCTCATTGTCTAATGACTTTCTCTTTAGACTGGAAAAACCTGTTGCTCCATTGCAAGAGCAGATGCATATTCTGTTGTGAAAACTGTATGATAATGGTGCTCTGTTTCCATTAACAGTACCTCCAGTGTGTGGTACTTTAATGTAATTATTTAGAAAACTTAATTTCTTTTGAGCTTTCTCTTTCACAGTATAGCATAACTTGCAAACTTTTGGCTCTTTAGTTTTTCTCCCAAGTTGTTTTTGAAGTTCAAATAATTTACAGGTTCTAGATTTTTTTCCCCCTCTTGTAATTCTCCAGTCTCTTCTGTGTCCAGCAGAAGAAAAGGATAGTTAGTGATGTGTTTAGTAGTCTTCCCAATTCTGGCAACCTCTGTTATTTTTCAGAGATTGTGTTATTAGACTTGTGAGTTGCAACACTGCAGTTCTGTCATGGGAAAGACCTTTCAGTTTTCCTGATCCTCTTATCTGTCTTCTAGATTCAGCAGCCAGCACTAGTTTTTCCCTTCGGTAAATCTATACAAGAGAGAAGTAAAGCAGAGAGTAGAAGGTGCTGACATTCCAGTCCCTTTCCTGTAATTTACCTTCATTCCTCACTGTCCATATCACAGCAACCAGAACTTTTAAAACTGTCCATCCCTCTAGAGCATGGAGAAAGTAAACAAGATTAGACTTTGCCCTGGACAAAGAGAGGAGTCCAAAGAGAGGATGAGGTAGGGGCTAGATAATTGAGGCAGTGGTTAGGACAATAAAACCCAAAATGGGTTTTATTAAGAAAAGGAGCAAATTGAGTAGTTTGAGAGGAGAGGTGATGAAAGGTTTGGAGGTCGAGATTGATTTTGAAGTGCTAGGGATTCATGACAGTTACATGTGAGAATAAGCATACCTGCTTATGTTATCACTTGTGAATAAGAGCAAGACAGAAGAAATGGCAAGTTAAATGAGAGAATAAAATAACTTTTTAATAAGATGCTGTTCATATGAATCTTAAAAATGGCATCTGGGACAGGTTCAGACTTGCTGGGGTTTTTTTAACCATTAGCAGTTGGCCGAGATGGATAAGGGTTCTGGTGCCAGACTTGTGGGACTTTGTGTCAATTCTCTGTTCTGACACATGCACCCCGCTCCAGTGTCATCGCAGACCTTTTTTCTCTTAGCTTTACTCTGTACTCTCAAAACTCTTTCCTGAGTAATTGTATAGTCAAAACCCTAAGCTATAGTTTGCCAGAATCACTCTGTGACCTTTATTTCTCCTGAAGGATGAAAGTGCCTTTTATTGTGATTTTTTTGTGGGGATTTTTGTTTTCTTTGTCTGTGTATGGGAGGCTTTGCAAATAAATTAATTACACTAGGAGTGAATATTTGCTATGGCTCAGCCAAAAGGCAACAAGTGCTTCTTTTAATGTGAAGCCTGCTATCCAGGCTAAGAAGTGAGGAAGAAAAATTACTATTTGTGTGTGTGTGTGTGACTCACTCTTGCATATACGTGTGCACACACACTTTGCTTGACTACTTCAGGGGTAACTCTGTGGAGATTTTCCTTCCCTCTTTAGAGCAATGCTATCTTATCAAATGGATTCTCTTTCAACTTGTTTTCTTTATTTGCATTCCATGTAAGTGTAATAGAGTTCCACAGGATGGGACAAATTATCTTTTATAAATAAATGCCAGGTACCAATGTAGTTTTTGTAGTTATTCATATTTCATTATATCTAGATTTAGACTAGTCTTCAGACCATCAGGAAAGGAAAAAGTTTATGGTATTATGACAAGGGCTTTTAGAAATTTGGCTTACCTCTTCCTGTTAGAATAAAACCTCTCTTCCTGTTTTGAGCAACAGTTATAGAAACTAGTTTCAGAGACTATCTTTAAAAAATGTTCAGCAAACACTTAACTTGAACTTAATTGGTTGTCCTTAATTCTTGCATGTTATCTGAAGTAACCTCTGGTCACCCTAGAACTGAGTAATGTACTGGAGAGACAGCAGCACAGACTCAGGTCTACTTAAGTAACACTTCTAAACTACAAGAAACAATATCTTCATTTGCTGTTGATGTTCAGGAAACTAACACAAACAGTGAAGTATAAGCAGGGCTTCAGTCAATTTTTTTTTTTTCATTTTATTTTTTTCCAGCTGTAATTCAAACAGTACTAATGGTAGTGCAATTAAATTGTGGAAGTTCATCAGTTAAAAAGACCTATGCTTGTTTTTGCAGTGTAGCTATCAGGAAGAGGTGTCATCCTGTAATCTCATAGCTTTGACATGCAGGGGAAGTATATATGTGTATATACAATGACTAAAAGGAAGAACATTGTTTTCTTCATTATCGGAAGCATCTGGGACATCTGCATGCAAAATAATATTTTCTCTTTGATAGTCAGGTCTCAGAAGCCCAAAATTTTCTAGATATGTTCTTTAAAATATGACCTCTTGTTAAGAAAGTCCTCGTTACTTACTGTTGTCTCAGAAGCTTGGTTCATTCCTTTTAAAGGAATCCATTCCTTCTGAAGTAAGAATGTTTATTCCTGAAAATAAAACCTGAGTTAAGTCTCTGTAACTTTAAGGTACTTTAATAGGGGAGTTAGATATGTTTGTATACTACTATGCCTATAATATGTGTGTATGTACTATATCATTCATCAATGCTCTAATCTGTCTATCTCTGAACTATCACCTCTCTTCTCCAAACAGAGGTTAAAGAAAGATAAATCGTCAATTAAGAGAGAATGGATGTTCAGTTCCCTTCTCCTGCCAGTCAGTCACAGGGATAATCCCTCACTGAAGGTTATGTGGAGACTGTGTTTGTGTTTTATAGCATGTCTTCCAGACAAGTTATGATTGCAGCTTCCAAAACAGTGTACAACAGAAGAAAAGTTATTTATTTGAGACTAAGTTAAATTTCTGCTCTTTTGAGTTCTTCCAGCAGACCTAAATTATAATTATGATGAATCCTGATTTAGTATTAAGAAAATCTGGAAGGAGAGAAGGTGTTGAATCATGACCAGATTTTTCAAATACACAACAAATACAGAAAAGAGGCAGTTTGCAAGATAAGAAATACTAACATTCTGCTTTACCTTTTATCAGGCTGGGATGAAATACAGAAACCTCATTTTGAAACCTGGAGGATCTTTGGATGGGATGGATATGCTACAAAATTTCTTAGAGCGTAAACCAAGCCAGAGAGCTTTCCTACTGAGTAAGGGATTATGTCTTCAGTAAAATTACAGTTCCTTCATGATGGCATATAAGTATGGAATCAGCTGGAAATGTCACTGTATTTCACTTCTTAACTGTGTATCACTCTGTGAAGTTGGATCACTTTTTGATGATTTTTTAAAATTGTATAAATAAAAATGTGATTTTTTAAAAAAATTGCATAGGACTACAAAATGCAATACATTAGGGAAAAAATTCTGAGATGTGCAGAAGCTGAGGAATTTGGGTGCTAATTTTTTTTTAATTGTTTTAAAATATTACTAATCAATATGGGGATTTGATGCCATGTTTCTCCTTTAATAGATGCACTTAAACTGTCTCTTGTGAATGAATTTTAAAACTGGAAAGGGAAAAAGGGACACTACCAGCAATAAAAGAAACAGATTCATTCTTACTCTGTATTCTTCTATTGTATTGATGGCTCACCAGTGTCTTTGATGGAGAGGAAGTGTGTGTGTTTGATTTCATCATGGTTTGGGTTGAGTCTAACTTCCTACCAAATTTCAAGGCTGCCAGAAACCTGCCCCGGACAGCTTTACAGCAGAGATACTTTTAGACTTCATTCTGATGCATGTTAAATTTTTGTATCATTTATAAACTTATACAGTATGACTACAAAGGAAAAAACCCTACATTTGAGCTACTGTTTTCTTCCCTTCATTGAGGAAAAATAGCTAAAATCTATGACCTTGGCAGTTCTTCCACCACTTTCTCTTTTTTTGTTGTTGATCACACCTTTGTTTTTCAAATTATATCAACACTGGCACTGAAAAATTATACTTGAGCGGTTATAATGGTTTCAGTTGGTTTGTTGAAGTATTTTGAGGTACATATGATGAAGGAAGGGAAGAAGATGTCCCCAGTGGGAATGGTAAAACTAAATCCAAGATTTTCTTGTTTCTTTCCAGTGTGGCATGCAGAGGTAAAACAAAAAATGCTTCATAGATTTAATAATTTCAGCTGTGGGAATGTGAAAGTAATCGAGGAATTATTTTGCAGTTTTTTGCAAGATCAGGAGAAATGGGTCTTACAAGCCAACTCTACACCACCCAGATAAATCTGCTAATACAAGTGCACTTTTCTTGTCTTTAGATATCATACCTTACTTTGGTTTTGGTATTACCATATGTATATGAAAAAGCTTTAATTTTGGTTACTAGCTAACTTATTTTAGACAATTGAACCATAGCTGTAAATGTGGTTGGTAATTTTATTTGTTCAGCCACCAAGTAAGAAAATGTGCCTGGTCAACTCAAAAGGCTTCCTCTTTCTGGCAAAAGTAAACAGAAGGCATTTACTTTGGGTCAAATCTATGTGTTTCATGGGAAAAAAAAATACAATTGTAAATGTTCAGTCAAAACTTTATTTCTCTGTGTTTTTCTTTGAAAATATTTAAATTGGGGGAAAAATAAGCTTAACTAGTTTCCAAAATGGAAAATTTAACAGGACTTATTTTTGAACCACACTAGTTACAGATGTGAGGAAATATAAATATTTGTAGCTAAAACATATTAACTATGTGGTCTTACCAGACCACAAAATTAAGTCAGTTCTAACTCTCATAGTCACTTAGAGCTTTAGATCCCAGTTCTGCTGGGCCATATATGTATTGCCTGGGAAGGCAATACGTAAAAGTCACATATATCTTGGAGAGTATTCAAAACAGCTATAAAGGAAAGCTGAGGAAACTGATGGATGCAGTATTACCCTAAAACCTCTGAATTTTGCCTAGATTAATATCCCTTACGTTCTGAAGTATTTTGCTTTCTTTTTAAACATGTTTAAATTCTTGTGATCCTCTCTTATCAAAGGTTTTTTCCTGTCACACTGTAATGATAGCTCAGATGAACTAAAATGTAAAAAATATACTAAATGATACTTTCCAAAAATGAATCTGCAAATCTAAGCAATGAAACTTCATTAAGAAGCAAAATGCAGTTTTTATTTCACATCTGGTAGGCAGATTTCCACATGAGGGAGACCTTTCTCTGCATAAACCAGTAGTCTCAGGTCAAGGTAGATAATTGCAAATGTAGTAATTGTAAACAAAAATATGTGATAATAGAAAGTTATGTGATGATTTAAAAGTTAGATTTAGGACAGTACTGATGCTAATGATGTTAATTTACTTGACTTTTTTATTTCCCTGGTTTTTAGAGTGTGTGTGTTATACAGTAAATAGTGACTAAGATACTGAAGTACAGGAGAACGTCCACCATTACGTGTATGTGAAAATGCCTACGTGATTGTACAGCTGTATTAGCATCAGCTGGATATCCAGGTGTGTAGGGAGGAGAAAAACCTAAACCACATGGTGTGCACAAATTAAAGTGTTATGTTCTATCCCTGTCCCAAAGAATAGGACTTTTTGTAATTTGTTTTTGTAGAAGCCAGTTCCCTCAGTCTGCACCAGGCATTGATTAAGGCAGATCATTTTATGGCTAAATCTGCACTCAACATGGAAAACTAGTTGACTCACAGAATAGTCACAGAGTCACAGAATGGTAGGGGTTGGAAGGGACATCTGGAGACCATTTAGTCCAACCCCCCTACCAGAGCAGGATCACTTACACCAAGTTGCACAGGAAAACATCCAGGCGGGTTTTGAACATCCCCAGAGAAGAAGACTCCACAACCTCTCTGGGCAGCCTGTTCCAGTGCTCTGGCACCCTCAGAGTAAAGACGTTTTTCCTCATGTTTAAGCAGAGCGTCCTGTGTTCCAGCTTCTGCCCGTTGCCCCTTGTCCTGTCACTGGGCACCACTGAAAAGAGTCTGGCCCCATCCTCTGGACACCCGCCCTTTATATATTTACAAACCTTAATAAGGTCCTCTCTCAGCCTTCTCTAGGCTCAACAGACCCAGCTCTCTCAGTCTTTCCTCATACAGGAAATGTTCCAGCCCCTCAATAATCATCTTTATAGCCCTCCACAGGGAACACTTGTGCTTTGGAAACAAGAGTTAGTTGCCTTGACACTGCACAGAAACAATCACATACATTCAGACTTGCCAAGAGGTAGGTATCTGGCAAAATCCAGCCTATTCTAGAGCTGCTAGACCAATGCTTCCACTGAATTAAATTTCAAAACAGTGAAAGCCTGTGTTTATTCCAACCCAACCTTAAGTATTCACTGTAATAAATAAAAAAGTAACCTGTAGTCATAGTCTGTAACAAACAGCTGCCTTTTCAAATCAGTAGTGTATCTTTTTAGAATTTCATTGTATTTAGGATTAATTCTTTTCCTTGGTTTAAAATTAAAATTCTACTTTGGTTGGCTTCGCAACAAAAGCTCCAGATGAAAGGGAAAGGGTAAAATGGGAGACTTTGGAGAGAGTGGTGGTAACCACTCAGTAAGTTGATAATAGGCAATGGCTTTCTCATTCTGCTGCTTCCCTGTAAAAGATAGAATGGGTTGACCGTGCAGCTGAGTCACAAGATGGGTAGGTGAAGGCCCCAGCAGTGCCTGCTGCTAAGTTGTCTGACATAGATCCAGCATATAGGCTGTCTGGATTGCTTGCAAGTCATATGGTCAAACCTAAATGGTAGAAACAGTCTGAAAAATAAGTTTAAACTTTGCTCTCTGAACTGTGGTAGGTGTTGGTTGTTATGCTGATTTAATAAAGAGAGCATTAAGACATGGAGTTCGTGTTGTAGAGACAGGTGGAGTATTGACTGTCACTTGAGCTTTTAATACTACTACAGCTGATTTTCCTATACAAATAGTTCTTTATGTTAATATTATTAATATTAGAATATTGCAGGAAAAAAACTTCCTCGTTTTAGTCAGTAATAAGGGTCAGTCAACTGCTGACCTTGTTTGACAAACTTTGTTGAACTCTGTTTTAACGCATCATCAGACAGCAACTAATTCTAATGGCTGTAGCTGTTTGGCATGGCAGAAGTAAAATTACTGCAACTAGAAGTGAGTCACAAGGTCAAGGTCTCAGCTTCCTCTGAGAAATTAAACAGTTTCCATATACCTTCAGAGGCAGTGGTGGGTAGTTGAGTTAAATGGAGACTGGAGGGGTTTTCCAACAGTTTAGAGCTGATTGCATAGTGAGTGGTTATAGACAGCGATTAGAGAGGCTAGACATCAGGATGTTAACGTGGTAGCACAAGGCAAGGAAAAAGAAGGAAAGCAGTAGGTGGAAGGATGAAGTTGTAGAAGGGTTGGAGTGAATGTCAGAGGCAGATAGTTGGAAAAAGACAGTAGTTTAATGCATACTAATTTATGAAAGACTACTGAATGCTTTTTATTGTTTTATGAATTAGAAACAAGACATGCTTGTCTGTGAATAGATTTCTTATCTTTTTATTTGCATGCCAAAGAACATGGGATTATGCACCAGCTTGTTGCTTGAATACTTGTGCTTCTTCCTGACATCTGGAGATAGATTTTTGTTTCACCACTATTTTCTGCATTAATATACTTTAAATAATAATTTCCTATGGTGGAAGGAAAAAAGTGCGATGTTATGGGGGAAGTTTTGTGGGGACCTATGCTGGAAATCCTGTATAGCTAAGGATTAGCCATTTTGGAAAGTGTAAGTGATGAAAAAATACATGGTACCACACAATGATCAATCTATTTTAGACCTAATTAGAATAGATAAAGACAAATTAATTAAATGAACTGGAAGTTAGTGGTTGCCTAGAAACCAATAATCATGACCTAATTTTGTTCAGTATTGATTAACAGAGGATAGACTCAACCAATACTTGCTTGCACTATACTCCTGATGAATTAAAAAGGCTACAGATACCAGTTCTAAAAGAACCAATGAGTTAAATCATTGTAAGAAAAGTTGTGAATGAGAAGTGGGATATCTTTAAAATTCAATTGGCCAATTTCACAACTTAAAAATTTTCGAGAACTATTCTAATTAAGAACCAATCTGTTCACCAGTAAAAATAGCAATTAAAAATAAACAAAACAGAAGTGGGGGTGAGGATTAGGAAGCAGTTATAAAATGAGGAATTGTGAAGTGTTAAAAATTATAAAGAAGGCCAAGACTGTCAAGGAAAAAAAAAAGGGTGAAAGTATTATAGCCAATAAGATGTATAACTTAATGTGTTAAGAACTAATAAATCCCATTCGTGTTACAGACTCTTTAGTAGATGGAAATGCTAATAGTGCAAATGACAAAAAA